CAGAAAGAGACAATATTTTATCTAAGTTATATGGATGTCTGACTTCTGCCCTCAGCACTCAAGAAAAACCATACTTATTTCATCATAGCCATTAGCAATGTCAGCTTAGTCAGCTTTCAGCTCTACTCCTTCCTTATATTGTGACCCATTCCCTTTCAACACTGTCCATCATGGTCTGTCTCTTGCTTCTGTTTGTTGTTCTGTGCCTCTAGTCATTTCTCCAATTTTGACAGTTATTCCTACCCTTTCTTTCCCATTGCAGTATCACCAATCTCAAACATTCATGTTAGGCTTTGAATAAATGCCAGGTTCTTGTGGTTTGCCTTCTGGTGTCTGAGTTTGGTTTGGTTTTTTTTGGGAGGGAGGGAGGGGAGGATTATTTGGTGGTTGTTTGGCTTTGTGTTGCTTTTAAGTTGCTTTTAATTGTCTTAAAATTGCAGCATGCGCCAGATAATTGAGAAAGCTGCTGACATAGTGAAGTTATATACAGCATCTCTGTGACCTTTTTGCAGTGAAGATACATACGTATCTGTCCAGTAAAGCCCAGACAACGTGACACTGACAGCTGCATTGTGGTATTCAGTTTAAATCTAACAGGTCAGCTCAGCAGTGTCAGTAGCAAGGGTTTCATTACAGTCTGCAGCACTTAAGAAAAACAACGTAAGCTTGTCCTTAAAAGTGAAACTGTTCCTCACCAGCTGTAGAAGGTAGATTTGGTGGCTAGGAGAAGATGTTTTTCTTAGTTATCTTTGTATCTCTTTGATTTTATTTGTGTATTTTGTAAACCTCAGTCCTCTGCCCTTCTTTAAAAGGGAAAAAATCCTAACTTCATTCACCAGCAACAGCAAGCTGTAATGTTATGGGAACTGAACACTCAAAGGACAAGAGGCGGAGAAGGCTGTTTTTGCTGAAAAAAAGTGAAAAGCTACCAGCATGGGAAGATGCCCTTCTCTCAGGAAAAGATCCAAAGTCCCTATTGAAGTGTGGATTGTGTTATGTCAGCCTAAGTCTTATAATGAAGGGGATGAAACATGTGCCCGACTTTTTGTGGGGATTGTCAGAAGTGCAAAAACTGAACCTTTCTCACAATCAGCTTGTGGTTATTCCTTCTGCTTTGGGGAAACTAGACAGATTGGTAGTACTAAACTTGTGTGGCAATCGCCTAAAGTGTCTGCCTAAAGAGACTGGGCTGCTCAGGAACCTGAAGGTTTTATTTGTCAACATGAATTGCCTGACTGAAGTGCCAGCGGAGCTAAGCCTTTGCAGAAAACTAGAAGTTTTGAGCCTTTCACACAACTGCATATCACAACTCCCTTCAAGCTTCACTGATCTGACAAGTCTAAAGAAGCTGAATCTTAGTAACAATTGTTTTGTTCACATCCCGCTATGTGTTTTTGCATTGAGGAATTTAGATTTCTTGCACTTGGGATCCAACAGACTTGAAAACATAGCTGAAAGTGTCCAGCACCTAGTAAACTTGCAAATCTTTATTTTAGAGAATAACAGTATTCGCACTTTGCCGCGGTCTCTGTGCTTCATCACTGCTCTTGAGTTACTAAATGTAGATTACAATGTTATTCAGACTCTCCCTGATGACCTCTATCAACTGCACAGATTGCCAAGAATTGCCTGGAATCCCATGGATAAAGGGCTCCACATTTCACATAACCCTTTGTCCAAACCACTGCCAGAGATTATAGAGGGAGGATTGGATGTTCTCTTCAACTACCTTAAAGAGAAAAAACAGCATGGCTAAATGTGTACTCTGTTTGGGATTAACCCTGTCATCAGTGTCAATGTACTTTCCTGACCAGGCATTTCCACTTCATAACACAAGAAGTCTGAAGACTAAAGATGGATTTAGTAAAGTTTTCTGAAAGCAAGTAAAATGCAGTGTTCTACTTCGATTATGCATAAATTTTATTTTCTAAAAATATCCATCTCTAACCCTCTGTTTGAAATGTCTTTTGGGAAGAATTGTGATAATAATTCTGCTCTTTACTAGACATAAGCTAATGGAAGCCAGTAGCACTATAGAGTGTGTATTTTGCCATTTATCAAAATTGAGTAATAGTAATATAAATAGGAATTCAGTGTATGCGATGTGCTATTGCATTTAACTCCTTCTGACTTCTTCCTGCACAGATAAACCACCACTACATAAACACGCACTACAGTCCAAGCAACCCTCAAGGAAGAATTTTTATTTTTCTATATCTATTATATCCCAAGCACTGTTCTTTCATCCCACCGCTGTGAGAACCCCTATAAATTACAAGGAAAGTTTGCAGCCTTTGAGGGGGATTTCCCAATTGTTTGTTCTCATATGTTCCAAACTTCTCAAAGGAAAACAATTCCCTTATACCAGCTTGCAAACTTTCCCACAAAGTCCCAAGGTCATGATGAAAAGTTACCACAAAAGGCTGACCCAGCACAAGTTCTCAGAAGAATTCACACAGGCTTTCATGAGGGGTGAGAGTTTCAGACAGGTCATCATTCTACTAAATGAAGATTTTCTGATGAAGATGTGTCTAATATTACTAAATGGACAGCTATACTCATTTCCTTCCACACTTCCATGCAATTAAAGCCATGAAATAAACTTTGCTCAGCAGACAGGACATATTTCAAAGGTGAGCTGAAAGCATACTTCTATTTGAACCAATGCAGGCATCAGTTTATGTAGCAGCATCAAAAGCAGGCTTACTTTCTATAATATTCAACATTACTGCATAGCATAAATGTCATGTCTGATGTGGTTCTCCATATTCATCTTTTATAAATGTCCTTCATTAAAGTTTTATAGTGTAATAAGAAGAGGCAGCATGTCAGAGCTGTTAGCAAGTTATTTGACCTGAATCTTCCCTTGCATAAGCATAAAACAAACAAGTTAGTGAAGATAGGGTATAAAGGTGGTAAGAAAACAGCAGTCTAGTTATTTAAAAAAGAAAAACTAAGATAACCTTTTAAGAAAAACTTTGAAGTGTTTCTTTATGTCAAATCTCAGAAATTGACAATCTCTTGTTTATATCTTAATTTGTTCATCATTGATAATAGAAGAAACTTAGTGCTTTTCTCAGTGAAGTTAATGGAAAACTACTGATCCCTATGGAAAGCCATTTGCTTCAGTGACAGAAAGAAGAGCCTAATATCAACACATAGATAACCATAGGTGCATCCAATATTCTTTTGAAATTTGTCAAGGCAGCAGCTTCAGCTGTTACCTTTGATGTACCAGTGCAGTACTGAATATAATGCTAAAGAATCTCCACTGATCAGATAGATGCTCCCATGAGTTGTCTGGTTATCCTAATTTTTTATGATGTTGGTATGGTTTGTGTACCATATAGTTCTTGGTTCTTGGATAACATAGGAATTTCATTACTATGTCCAGTGATTGCATTTTCTTTGTTTCCCTTTTATCCTAGAAAAGGAGGAAAAAATCTTTCTAAAAGGCACATCTGTTTGAGAAGCAATACAAGTAAATGAACAAAACAATTGAGTATCAAACAGCAAAGTGCAGTCATTTCCAGACTTGCTAACTTAAGATATGATTAATGGAACAATTTCACTGTGTACCCAGATTTTCATTTAATTTCCTGCTTAAGGCATAAGATACATAGTAAATTCTAGTTTTTATGCACCATTATGGAGAATAAATTATGAGAGGTTTCATAGAATGATAAGAGAAGTAATACTGCAATTATTTGTAGAGATATATAAAAATAATTTATGTTTTTATTTTGGACATGCATTATTGCATTTTAAATGTTAATTTTACAAGCTCTAAATCTTACATTACATGTAAAGGTTGATAATCCTGCATTAGAGGTAACAAAAGATTAAATGCCTATGGCACTTAGTACCTGAAAAGATTTTTTCTATGCATCTATAGCAAGGACTATATGACACCAGTTAGTTCATGATGTGATTTTGTTAGTAATTTATATGGAAGATGGAGGGACTGGCCAGGATGTATTCATTATGATTTCACTATACAGGGTGAGAATCAACAAATGGTTCAAGAAACTAGGCTGCAGATAATGGACTAAAAGGCAAATTTGAAATAGATAAATGCATGTAGAGAAGCAGCACTTAAAACATGAAATAGAATACCAGTTTAAAATTCAATTCAGTTATTCAGCTGAATAAATGAATAACCTTTTATTCAGCCAAGTAAACCTTTGCAAGTATATCTAACACTTAAAAGTTTCTGCTTTTTAAAGCAGAATAACAAAAAATACTGTGTAAATGGTACTTCAATGTGTAATTCAGATTTCACCATTAAAATCATTTCCATTTCATTACTTTGGTCTTTCTGTACTTCCTGATTTTAAATCAATTTATGTATTTCTTTATTTAAAAAAGGAGTAGTCATACTTGCCTAAAAAAAGTTTTCTGAATTCTTAGTTTGCATAGTGGAGAAATCTCTCGTGACTGCATGTCAGTATTTATGCACAGATACATGCACTAGGTAGGTATGTTATAGTTCTGTCAGTACCAATAAGGGAGAGAAGTAGAGAACAGATGATGTACTTTGCTAGTTCTTTTGGTATGAGTTTGGAATCATAGTACATGGAGCAGATCCTCAAGAAATCCATTTCTAAGCACTTGGAGAAGAAGAAAGTGATTAAGAACAGTCATCATGGATTCACTAAGGAAAAGTCATGCCTGACCAACCTGATTGCCTTCTACGATAAGATGACTGACTTTGTAGGTGTCATTTGGGAGACTAGTGAATGTGGTATACCTTGATTTTAGCAAGGCTTTTGATATGGTCTCCCACAACATTCTCACAGTCAAGCTAAGAAAGTATGGTCTGGATGAATGGACTGTAAGGTGGATAGAAAAGTTGCTGAAGCATTGGGCTCAGAGGGTAGTAATCAATGGCTTGACGTCTAGTTGGCAGCAGGTATCAAGTGGAGTGCCCTAGGGGTTGGTTCTGAGGCCAGTTTTGTTCAATGTCTTCATCAACAACCTGGAAGATGGCCTAGAGTACACCATCAGCAAGTTTGCAGATGACACTAAGCTGTGTGGAGTGGTAGATATGCTGGAGGGTAGGGCTAGGATTCAGAGTGACTGAGACAAATTGGAGGATTGGGTCAAAAGAAACCGCATGTGGTTCAACAACGACAGGTGCCAAATCCTACACTTAGAACCATAGGTGATGCATGGGGGGGAACAGGGGAGCACGTGCCCCTCCTGAGATTGGCCACCGCCAAAGCTGCCACCAGCTTTGACAGGTGGTGGCTGCCCCCCACCCCCTGCTGCCGACGTGGCCACCAGCAGCTGCAGGCAGTCCCTGCTCACTGCCCATCACTCGCCACCCCACCCCTTGCCGCCAACACTGCCACAATGGCCTGCAGGTGGTCCCCGCTCGGCCCGCCCTTGCCGCTAACATCACCGCAGCTGCCTGCAGGCAGTCCTTGCTCACTGCCACCACATCCCCACCACTGCCACTGCTGCCTGCGGGTGATCATCGTGCCCCTTAGCCTCCCCTTTATTCGGCACTGGTGAGACTGCATCTGGAGTACTATGTTCAGTTTTGGTCCCCCCACAGAAAGGATGTCAACAAATTGGAGAGAGTCCAGTGGAGGGCAGCAACAATGGTTTGGGGGCTGGGGCACATGACTTATAAGGAGAGGCTGAG